GCAGCTACTGTCTTCTTGTAGCATGAAGTACATCAGTAGGAGTTGGATGACATGAACCTCTGGAGGCAAGAAACCTGAAACCAGGCAGGCAGGAAAAGTGACAATTAGAATTAGAGTTAGAATAATTATTATTTATTGTTTTATTATTTTTTTCCACATAAAAGGTTGTCATTAGTTGCTACCCTTCCACCTGGCAGAGAGGAGTTCCTGTTGCACAGTGATCAGTTAAGAAAGCAGATTAATAATTTGCATCGGATGAAATGTGGTTAACTCCATCATTTTACAGACGTGGCGTTAATTGCGATAATGATGCGAGTTCTCTGTGTGTGTTTATAAGCGAGGGTGTATATAATGTTCAACAGAGAGCTGACATTAACGTTACGTCCACATCTGTAAAATTTTGGACAACTTTCTGGTGTATTGAAACAGGAATAGTTTCTCTGCTGTAAGGGAAGTTCGGATCCTTCTGTCTTTCGGGATTTAACTGGTTTCCCCCGGCTTTTTTTTTTTTTTTTTTTCCGCCCTGTTCATTTGAAAGTGTACGCATGTGTGTGTATATATTTATGTGTGTTACGTGTTTGTATGTGTGTGTACTTTCCCCACAGCTCTGCACAACTAGTTGCGTTGCCTTAGCTCTGTAGCTGGAACAGACCTCACCAGCTGAAAATCTGTCCCATCAAGTTACTTCTGCCCCTAAAAAAAGGGCTTGTGGAGGGAAAACACACAACTAGAGCCTGTCCCTGAGGTTCAGGGGGTGTTACAAGGCTTCTAAACACGGCCCGAAGGAGCCGGTCTCCGGGAGGAAGCGGGGGGCAGGAGTCTCGGCAGGTGGGAGCCAGCCAAGCCCGGGGCCGGCGGTGCCCGGAGGTGTTAATGCCCTTCTCCTTCCCTTCAGGTGAGGCCGTTCATTTAGCTCGGGATTTCGGGTACATCTGCGAAACGGAGTTCCCAGCCAAAGCTGTTTCGGAGTACCTGAACAGACAGCACACGGACCCCAGCGACCTCCATTCCAGGAAAAACATGCTGCTTGCTACAAAGTGAGTGCCAAATTGACTATTCCCCGCTTCCGCCCTCCCCCGAGAAAATCCTCCCCCTCCTTAAACCCGGCCCCTGAGCTCATTTTGAAACCAGACAGAGTTTCCAGGCTCAAAATTATACCGGCCTCGCGGGTGCAGGGAGGTAGGATGCTTATGGCCCTATGGGCAGGGTGGACCCTATAACCTCTACAGTGGGGTTTCTGCCAACATACGCTGTCCCTATAGAGGATATAGGTCCCCTAGCTAATGTCCCTCGTTTGCAAGCCACTCTTAGTTCAAAAATCTTTATGGAAAGAGGATCAAAAATCTATGTTTTGCTTCCACAGCATGTCTGTCTGTCCCTCCTGCTGCTCACACACCCCTGTTTGTCTGCTATCAAATTATAATGCCTTTCTCATATGATTTATTAAAAAAAGAAAAAAAAAAAGAATAAAACTCCACTACTACGTACTCTTAATGATCCTGGGTTTGGTCCCCGCCATCCATCTCTCTCCCATGGGACTTTGTGGATGTGCTGTTTCGGATGATTTATACTTGACTGTGTCTCTCAGGCTACTAACTGGGTGCTTCATAGCTTGTTGGGGTCCTTGGCGGTGGGTGCTGTGTGTCTTCATACTCTCTCTGTCTATATGGCAAAAAAAGGGGGAAAAAAATAAAAAAAGAAAGAAAAAGGGAAAAAAAATACCAGCCCAAACAGCTCTCATTTATTTCATGCTCTGGGACGTGGCTTGCCTCCAATGACAGTGTAATTTAAAGAAATATATGGAGGGTTGAAAAATCATTTGCTCAAATTTGTCCAGATGTTTTTTAGACGTGATTGGAATTTGATTGCCCTTTTCCGCAGGGTCAGAAGATATTAATGTCCCAGAACTTTAATTGCTCGCAGACTCCGCTTTGCTCTTTGAAGATGTAAAATGTTGGACTCATTACTGTTTGTTCTCCAAACTCAAAGTTTCCTCTCTTGCACTTTCTTAATGGATAATACACATAGAAGTAGACCTTTATCTTTCCCCACCCTCTGACACCTTTAACCCACTGGGAATTTCAGAGAATTTCAGAGGATGAGAGCTGAATGCCTTTTTTAATGGATATTTTTTTTTTTTTTTTAATTCTGGCCTTTTTTTCTCTAGTCCCTGAGTAGGCATCTGTCTCAAAGAAACCATTCCTTTGGGAACCTCACCAGCCCCCAGGGTTTCTACATTGCCCAGGCACCTGTTGACTCTCTAGTCAAGGCTCTTTGGACCACAGCAATGCAAAAGAAATTAATTGAAATTAATTATAAAAAATCAAATCAGATTTTTCAAAGGCATGGGCAAACAAACAAGAGCCAAATGTCAACTCTGATGAGCTGAGATGCCACCTCCCAGAATAAAATAGAAAATGCTAGCTTTGCTCCTCATGCAATGAATAAGCCAGCATGGAGTCTCAAAGTCCGGATCTTTCTTGACAAGGCGGGCCAGCCTGAGCAGTCTCAGAGGAGGCTCTATTTTGGCCCTTCCCTGCACCATGTCTCTGTGCCACCCAGTAACTTTCAGTGTGTGGTCGTGCCTTCCTTCAGGAACAGCATTAGTGGGAGCTGCCTTCAGCCAGGGTCAGGCCTCCAGGAAGATGGGTGGTTGGCAGACCCATGGCACATCTGCCTTTCGACTTGGTTATTTCTAAAGCCACCAAGCAGGCTGGGTTTTCACCATGCTTCAAAAGCATCCTTGTGATTCCTGGAGAGATTTCTATCTCCAGACCCAGTGTTATCCTGCAATTGCAGAAATCTCTCTTCTGAAGATCATCATTCTGAGGGTGGTGAGGCACTGGAACAGATTGCCCAGAGAAGTTGTGCATGCCCCATACCTGGAAGTGTTCAAGGTCAGGTTGGATGACGCTTTGAGCAGCGTGATGTAGTGGAAGGTGTCCCTGCCCATGGCAGGGAGGTTGGAACTAGATGATTAAGATCTCTTCCAACCCAGACCATTCTATGATTCTTTGATTCTATCCTGAGCAGGGAGATATTGGCTCACCATGGCTGGTTCCCAAGCATTGTTGGGGGAAAGAAAGGTGACAAAAGATCCTATTATGGGTCTTGGAATTAGCTTTGGCCTAAACCTGCCCCTTCCTTTAACCTTGGTTGTCTCAGGGAAGTGTGAGATGAGCCTAACCATCGTCTTTCTTTCTCTTCCTCTCTTTGCCTTTCTCTCTTCCGTGCAGGCAACTTTGTAAAGAATTTACAGATCTCTTGGCCCAGGACAGGACACCCATTGGAAACAGTCGGCCCACTCCTATTTTGGAACCCGGTATTCAGAGCTGCTTGACTCACTTCAGCCTCATCACTCATGGCTTTGGGGCCCCTGCTATCTGCGCTGCCCTCACGGCCCTTCAAAACTACCTGACTGAAGCTCTCAAAGGCATGGACAAGATGTTCTTGAACAACAACACTGCTAACAGGCACACATCTGGCGAAGGACCAGGTAGTAAAACTGGAGACAAGGAAGAGAAACACAGAAAATGAGGAAGAGAGAGAGAGAGAGAGGGGAGAAAAAAAAAAAGAAAAGAAAGAAAGGCAAAGGAAAAAATCAATAAATAAAAGGAGAAAAGAGAGAGATAATCTTCTAAAACAAAACCGTCTTAATTTTAGCTTTAAAAATATTGGATTGGGCTTTGGAAGAATTCTGTTAGGTAGGACAAAATAATCATTTTTTAATTATAATAATAATAAAAGAAAGACAATAATTTAAGATCAGAGGAGCACAATGGCGCAAGACCAGTGGTTCAGAGTCTCTTGCCAGGAACATGTGAAGACAACCACCAGGATTTTTTTCCCACTTCTGTTCTTTCACATTTTTTAAATAATGATTGGGGGGGAGGGAGGTGAATATAATAATAATTAATAATAATAATAAAAGAAAGAAATGAATAACTTATTGGAAGAAATCCGAGAAACATTTTTGGTGTCAGTGCTTTGATTTCTTGAGCTGCACGGTCTGTCTTGCTATTCTTTTTATTTTATTTTATTTTTTCCTTTCTTTTTTTTTTTTTCCAAATGACGTCCTGTCTCCACCTTAGCTAAAATTATCTTCCAGAATGTTCCTTCCTGAGCATCCCCATCACCTCATTCCACCCCCCCACCCCCAACTCTTCCTATCTCATCTCACCACCCTGGTTCTGTCTAGACTAGGAAAGGAGGAGAGCTGAGCACACAGACCTCTCCCAAAGTCATCAACACCAGCCAGTTGGAGCTGCATTCATGGCAGCGTCTTAACGTTTGATGCCATTAGATTGGAAGGTTCAAGTTGTCGTAGCTCAATCGAATCAGCTGACTCTGGGTTTTTTTAAGAGCTTTTTTTTTTAGTTTTCCTGGTCTAGACAGACTCTCTGTTTAGATTACCAGCGTTTACAGGTGTGTATGGGCGCGTGTGTGCCTATGTGTGTGCATACGCGTATGTGCGCACATAACTTTGTAGGGGTGCATGTGTATCCTATGTATGTTTGTGTATATATGTATATATAGGAATATATACATATATATTTAATATGTGTGTGTGGCCACACATATTCATGCATGCAAACATACCTTGGTAATTTAGTACTTGCCTTTGATGGTAAAATGCCTTTGTCTATAATGGGTTGCAAAATATTCAAAGTGAGGTCTGGTAAAATGTCAGCTCTATCTGATTTCTTAATTTTCTGAGATCTCCTCTTTTTCTCTAGGGAGTTTTTTATTCCTAACTATGCCAATGTTTCAATCCTTAATTTCCTTGAGTAGTGTGTGTGAGAGATGTCTTCCCCCATTTTTTTAAAGAACTGTTAACAACAACAAAAAATGAGTGATATGAGTATGTAATTCTTTCTCAGGAGTATGCACTATTTTATTTTCTTCTGTTTCCTAAAGCTTTGCCCGCTTGGCTTATGAGCTTCTTCAAAGAGGACTAGAGATCCCTACACAATATATCAGGTACAGAGAAAAAAAAAAATCCACAATTCTGATATTATGATACTTTTCTTTTTTTTTTTCTTTTTTTTTCTTTTTCAAATCAAAGCCAGTTGTTTCCGAATTCTGTAGGTGCACTTCTTTAAAGAAGCTCAAAGGGAATCATTTGAATGAGATCAAAAATACAAGTTGAAATCGAGGTGTAATGTTGCAAAGAAAATACGAGCTGTGTTGAATGTTACCGTGCTTGCTTGGCACGAGGGTCTGGTACCCAGGGAGGAAAGGGTTGCCATGTGAGCTGGCTCCTCGTGATGGGAGCGGGGAGGGTTTGCCAGGGAATATCCTGATTTCTGGGCTCAAATCTGAGGGAATCTGTTTCTCTTAGAAAGCTTTTTAAACCCAATGTCTTGTGACTCGCGTTAGAACAAGTTGCTGTGGTAGAGGGGGAAAAAAGACTTAACTCCAATGTTTTTCTCGGTGGTTTGGTGTGTGACAGGATGTCTTATGCTTATGATTTTGGGGGGGTGGAGAGGGAGTCTGATTTTTTTCAATTTTTTTTCTTTTCGACATACATTTCTTTGTCTTCTATGGTAAAAATGATGCTGAAGTGTAAGGGTATGAATTTCTATCTGGAGTCTATCGTGTCGGGTAATTGCATGTGTTTCTCAGTGGGGTGGGGTTTGTGCACTAACACACCTTTTCGCTTGTGTCAGAACAGTTACTGGGTGTGGGTAAATCTCCTGGAGTCACTGGCAAAACTCCAGTGGGGTCAGGCCTCCCCCCCAGGTCCCGTGTTAAAGCTGCAGGACTCAATTCCACCCACCCAAGCAGGCACATCTGAACTCAAAACAAGGGGAGGAGAGAAAAAAAGAGAAGCCTTAGACTTGTTTTAGTTTCTAGAGACCTTCCAAAGTGGACGGTGGGGGAGAAATAATTCAGCAATACTCTCCACATCCCCCAACAAGATTTTCTTCAAACAAAAAAGCAAATGAGCCTCTTGACTGTCACCCTTAGTGTCCTTAGCTACTTGAGAAACGTCTACAGCTGAGGGCCTGCTCTGCTTTTCAAATGTTCATGCAGCGAGCAAAGGTCTCGGCTCTTGTCCCCTACTTGTGAGTTGGAGACGTGTGTGGCAATAGAATCCCAGGAATCATCCAGCCCCGAGGAGTATGTACCCCTCTGGAGATGCTCCTCATTCATGTACCTTTGGTTCTTCTGGGGCAGAGTGCTGCTGAGAGAAGGGGGAAACTGAGGCAGGTAGCCTTCTTCAGGAGCTGCTGTGATGAGTTGGAGGTAGCCTTCAACCTTGGTAGGGCCCTGGCAGTGGGTTTGGTAATTGGCACACCCCTGCGGACGTCACCAGAGGAGGTAGGATCGCTGGGTGATGTAGATCTCTTGGATCCCCCACCAGTAGGTCAGAGACTCACAGATTGAAGAGCAGACCCTGGTCCTCCACAACCCACCTCTTATCAACCACCCCCAATTTCAGCAGGTCCCTGGGGAAGGACAACCCAAGCTCCAGCACAGGGCATGCCCCAGCAGTGATGGCAGGAAAAGGAAGGGGGGTGTGTGTGTGTATCTGGGGAAGAATGAATGACACCACCTGAAAGCACATCTCCCGAGGAGACTATTCTATTTACTGAAGCCAAGCACAAAGTGTCGAATGTTGCTTTGCCTGCCCTCTGCAAAAAGCCTTTGTGAAGAGCCCATGGGTCCAGGCCTCCAGCATCACTCAGCCCAGTGGGGGTCCTGGGTGTGAGGAGACCCCAAATCAGCTCTCAGTCTTCCACTTCCCCATCTGCACATGTAGGGATGTGTGAACACGCTCCCTGCCACTCCAGAGCTTCCAGCTGAAGGCTTTGGGGAGATGTTGGGAGTGGTTTCTCCTTGTCTTTGGGGAGATGTTGAGGATACTCCTTTTAATTGCGGAAGACAATATCCCACCACCACTGTGAGTTAATGAGGAGAGGGAATCTCTTGCAGCTTCCTGGGGAAAGACCTGAACATACATGTGCACATGCACACACGTGTGTCAGGGCCTGATCCTGCTGCTGAAATCTCCCCTACACCCAGTTTTTGTCACCTGGGCCAGAACCTAAATCTTGAGAAGGTTGAGGGAAGAGTTTCAATTGACTTTGGATCTGCCCTTTGTGCCTTCTACCTAGAAGAGACAGACCACAAAAGCCAGGCAGTGCTTCACTCAGGTGAAATCACAGTGAACGTAGAATTCCCCTTGATTTTGGTGGGACTCCATTGACTTTGGTGGGACTCCCCTCATTTCTTCCCCAAAGCAGGGAGACAAAATCCATGAGGTTTCCGATTTAAATGCAAACAGGGAGAAAACATGGCATAGGAATATCTCCATCTCTGTTCTTTCCCCTAGCCTAAGTGCTGGTCCCATGGGGAAACATCCATTCCTTGGTGGTGGTTCCTATAGGTGCTGAGGACTAAGGTCCCTCCCAAAACTAAACTCAGCCTGTCACTGGAAGACATTTTCCTGCTCCCTCTGCACTTTCCCAGCCTGACTACTTGTGCTGGTGGGGCACCTCAGACGTTTATCTGATAATTGAGTTATTAAAAGATTTGGTTTCCTCGGGATCATAAATCAATAAACAGGAGGATTAACACGGCAGCTTTGCTTTTTAACTCAAGGGAAAAGTTTGAGGAGAGACCGTGAAAAGTTTGTTTTCAAACCAAACAGGTGGGTTGCTGTAAATTTTATTTCAGTCTTAGTCTCGCTTTTTTTTTTTTTTTTTTTTTTTTTTTAAATAAATAACAATTCTCTACTTTCTGTTGGAAAGATCTTTCTTTTTCATACGCTCCCTGACTTTTTTTTTTTTTTTTCCTTCCTGGTTGTTATTCACACAAGGTGTGAAGGAAACAAGAAGCCAATTTTATGAGAAGCCTTTTACAACCCGATGATTTCTTTAAAATCGGGTCGTGTCTTGTCCCACCTAATAGAAATTCTCTGTGAGAAGCTGTTTCAAGTCCCTTTGCATCCCAGACCAACCTCCCTTAGAATCCCCAAATTTACATTTGGGGCTGGGTGAGAGGGGGAGGATGATTTTAAGACCTTTAGCTGTGCCCAAAGGGCTTATTCCTTTCCACTGCTCATCTCTTTCTGACCGGTTTATCACGCAGACCTATTCGGCTCTGTTTTAATACGTTTCTCGGAGAATTTGGTGCTCGTTTCAGCTGCCGTTAAGCATTGCCAGATCGATCCGGCCAAACTCCCCCTCCCCTCCGGCTTCCCCGTGTGAGAGACCGTGGGCTTTTTACAAATAGTATATTTTCTTATACAAAGGGAAAAAGGAAAAGAAAATATCCCCAAACACACTGGCAAACGCCTGAACATGTCGAGAGAGACGAAACGTTGTGTGCCAGAGAGAAATAAAGGGGGGAAAAGAAAAACCCAAACAAATGCAAAGCTCTGAAAAATCGAATGAGAAACTGGAAAGATGAAAGGAAAAAAAAAATAAAAATCTCCTTTTATGCCCCAAACGATCCTTTTCACCTCCTCTTCTTGAAAAATCTGACCATACAGTGAGAAATATCAGTTTATCGACTCTTCCTGAGAAGAA